GTATCTATTCAAAACTCTTATTATGTTGTATTTCATGTGTACAAGTGTTTTATATATTTTGAGACACAGGATTCGTCCTAGTTCAAGTGTCAATCCAAAATAATCTATTAGGTATTGTTTCTGTTTTCATGTGTTTTTGTATTGTATTTTATATTTTTATTTTACGTTTATAGCCACTTTTGTTCATTGTAGTGAGGAATAAATGATTATTATTATTATTTCCCTACATCAAGATGCTTACAAAAGTAGGTACCTACTTACGTTACTAAATGTCTAGTTTTTTTCCTAAAGTTACGAAGTTGAACGAAGGTATTATCTCTGAACTTAAAACTGGATATCATAATTTTATGCTTCTGTAGATGGTTATGTCGTTAAAATTAATCGAATCGGATTTGTCGATCCAATTCGCGTAGTTGATAGTGATTCTGCCTCTTGCGCCAGAGGGTGTAAGTTCGATTCCCACTACTGGAAAAATATTGTGTTGAATATAGTGTTTAGTGTGTTGTTGTGCGGGGGTGTTTATATATCTATAACATGTATTTATTTACAAAAAAATATACTTAAGTATGTTTATCAGTAATCTAGTACCCATAGTACTAGCTTTGCTTAGTTTGGGAAAGGATAACGTTGTGTGTAAAATGTCCCGAAATATTTATTTACTTTTTAAAGTATTTAGCCCCTCGTCTATCGATACTTAGCCTGCTAGCGATGAGTACGTTGTTTCGGTGAGAGTCCATCAAAGGGAAGAAGCTTTATAGTCGTCGCTATTTCAAAATTAGTTTTCCCTGAATTTGTTACATTATTGTGACAAAATTTCCATCCCTTAGCTTATAGTGGCACGTTGTTCCAGCAGAGTTCACGACCTCTTAAGATCGTGACCTCGCCACGGAAGTCCTCATACAGTCCGAAAGGTTCTCTGAGAATAAAAAAATGGCTCTTTGGAATATAAAACGTAAAAGGAAGGGAATCGTAAATTATATAATTTATATTGTTCACCTTGAAATAGTCGTGCTCGTGTGCTCGTGTTTTATTTTAGTCAACAGTTTGTAAAACCCATCGGATACAACCTGCAAATAATTCTTGTAAGATTATTAGGGCGAGCGAAGCGAGACCTAACACTATCCCACAACCTGAGCGTTTTTGTGGTACACTTTACTGAAAAACTATCACCTATAAATTTTTGCTTTAACATAGTAATTTAACTTCATGTGTAGATGTGTCAAAAAATATAATTTCATAACCATAGTTTATTATGCTTATTTTCACAGCATAATGTCTTCTGGTGTCTTACTTTGGGGTTTCGCATCCGGTTTAGACACAATATTTGTATTGAAAAAGCTGGCTATACGGGCTGTCTATGGCTTGGGTCCACGTGAGTTACTACGGCATTTATTTAAGCAAATAAACGTTTTAACGCTCCCGTCGCTTTTCATACTTGAGAATACATTGAGGATAAGGATGTGTGGAAATGACTCTCGCTCTGTGCTTGCAAGACCCCTGGCTGCTGCAGATTTTATAGGTACCTAAATAAGTTTGTATAATTGCATAAAAAAAAAACAAAAAGAACAAGACTGCAGAGTTTCTTGCCGGCTCCCTCCTGTCGCAACCCTGCGCTGTGCTATTTGCCTTTCAGCACGGATTTGACTTAACCTATAACTGAAATAAAAAAATCATAATATGTTACGTCTATAAGTTTTTACTGTGGTACGACCAAGCAACAGTCTTCACAGTTGTACGAATGGTCAGGTCCGTCGGGGAATTACCGCGACCTCACAGAAGAATAGCGCGTGAAGTGGCTGTGGAAGTGTAATACTTTTGCGTTTCGCCTAGTGAGTGAGCCGGGGCCCACTTTAATTCAAACGTGTGCTGTTCACTCAACATCAGGTGAACCGCTACTACTAACCGCTACTAGCTCCTTTGCTACCTTTTGACATAAAAAATAAATAAATAAGAATAATACAGAAAAAGATACACATTTCTTTGGATTTGACATATCAACCGGCAGCCATTGTTCCCATCGCAAACAATAACTTTTTCGGAGACGAAGTATTTGAATACTAAAACTACTATAAAATACTATAAAAAATATTGTAATATTATTCTTCCCAATCATTTATATGTATAATAGTATATAAATATGTATTTACGACATATTCTTTTTTATTAAGTCAACAATCACTTCACACGAAACGCACTTAAATTTATAAACTTTCTAAATTTTATTATGGCGTTCTGCTTGAAAGTTGTGGCCAGTTAAATTTATTTCGTTGAATAATTTCCTAAAGAACGTCTCTATTAAGCTATTTTTATAATCAAAACGCGCTAGTTGATGATATACGTAATTTGTTTACACTATGTCGCGTAGGTACCATGGTTCCCTAGTGGCGGTTTACATAATTTTATTTTCTTGCTACTATAGTACCTGATTGCTTTCGGGGTGTTATAAAAATACTACAGCATGCTTTTGATTTCATTAGAAGTGTTTATTTTATAAAGAACTTGTTTTGGGAAAGTACATAATATATATGAATAAGTATATAAATTTTGTTTACAAATATTTAATTTAAACTTTTTACACCTGCCTCTTTTGTGTGTGCGTCGCGCACAGGTTGCCTGGGAGAGAACGCATTGAGTCCGCTTACACACAATGTATATTTTTTGTGTAAAAGTTTAAATAAATAAAAAATCGATACATTAGCGGCATACTTAAGGGTGATAAAAAGGTAACTAACACTTGACCGATGATTATTTATGATATGCAAGAGGATATATTATATAGATGATAGGATAAGATAAGGAGACAAGTGGTATTACATAATCAGGGGATTGTCCGAAACGACACGTGTTTAATTCAATGTTGTTATTTTGTTTTAAAAAAATATTTTCTCTAGTTAGTTAATAAATAATTTTATAGAAACCCGCATTGTTACTGTAGAACATAAGTCCTCGGAATGAGGGCGAAGGTTTAAACATAAAGAACAAAATTTTTCGTTTGCAATATATTCGCCTGAAAAAAATACAGTTTTCGACCTTTTAAACTTTTTATTATTATGGAGGGGATATTCACTTGTTTTCTCGTCTGGTTGGGTATATAAATAGAAATAATATATTCAGAGAATATATTCATATAATATATGTATATAATTTTTTATTTTAAACATTATTATTATTATGGGGATATTTATTTGTTTTTTCGTCTGGTTGGGTTTGGAGATAAATAATAAACATATAAAATATATTGCATATATAAAATAAATATTATGAATAAAATAAACATACAGATATAAATATTATGTATAATACATAAATAAATAGGACCCAACCAGACGGAAGCCCTCGGCAGGGGAGACTAAACGGCCCAGGGTTAGGGTGAGAGGGAGAGAAACCGGCGGACGATGCGGGCGGTATCGAGGAGCACCGCCTTCTGCATTTGAGCTTGGAGTGTTCCGTCCCGGAGTCCCAGTCGCCTCAGATGTTCGGACAGGCGTTTATTATTATTATTATTATAATTATTCTAAACATAGCCCTTACTTTGGGATAACATTATTTTGTGTTGTAAGGAAGTTTTACAAAGATAAATTTCACGCGGACAAACAAGCAGATGCGAAACAGCTATCTGTGGGTCACAAAAATCGTTGTAGAAGCCGAATGCGAAACCTGAACAAGTCAAAGACTTAAGGCCCATAAGTTTATTTCCCTTATTATCAAAGATACTTGAAAAAGTAGTTTGCCAACAAATAACGCTCTATCTGGAAGAAATTCTGTCTTACCTGATTTTTAATCAAGGTTTAGGAAGGGACGTAGTACTACCACTGCACTCTCTGATGTAGTACTCTCTCAATTTCATATCTATGCAGATGATACTCAGATTTATATCTCCTTCAAACCAAATGATTTGGGACCACATTTTTATTGAAAAAGCTGGCTATACGGGCTGTCTATGGCTTGGGTCCACGTGAGTTACTACGGCATTTATTTAAGCAAATAAACGTATTAACGCTCTCGTACTTGAGAACATTATGTATGTACGTAATAATATCCACCTATTTACGAAAAAACATTCCACATCGTGTCGGGGCCGTGGTGACAATATGGAAGTACCAAGTTTTAGACTGGCTAAAACCAAAAAGTCATTTCTTAGTAGATGCATCAACTTTTATAATAAAATAGGTGACATCCACAAACAACTAAGTATAAAAAAATTCAAATAATTTGTAAAAGCTACCTTAAAGGCAAGGGCCTACTATAATGTCCAAGAATACATTGAGGATAAGGACTCTGTGTGGAAATGACTCTTGCTCTGTGCTTGTAAGACCCCTGACTGCTGCTGATTTTATACCTAAATAAGTTTGTATAATTGCATCACAAAAAAAAACAAAAAGAACAAGACCGCAGTTTCTTGCCGGTTCTTCGGTTTGTGAGCCGATGGTAGATTTTTTGTTGACGTTCAATAAGAGCTTAAGTTAAGCCTATATTGAATAAAGATTATTTGACTCTGGCTTTGACTTTGTTAAATAAAAAAAAAAATATTTAAAATGATGGGTCGTATGAATAATTTACCGAAGCCCATGTCAAAAATAATAATTAAAAAAAAACTGTTTTAAAAATTATTACCCGGTAGAAAAACTACGCGAGCCCTCACAAAGCTCAGCTCTTTGCTAGTATATTATTGTAAGTTTCAAATAGTTATCTTCAATAATTTGCGATTTTCCTCATTAAATAAAAGCTTAGTGATTAAGCAATAATTATTTTTCAGTGTTTCACCACCCCTTGTAACAGTAGGTTTACTTATTTTCATAAATAGTCTTAAAGTTTAAATGATGCGGGAAGTCTGACATAGTACAATATCATGTTGTAATCGTCTACTAAGGCACTAAGTACATATAAGTAGATTACAAGAAAATAATTTTGACAACGCATTGGTAACGTAGATATAATGTTTATTAAATATTATAAATGATTATTGTAAAGGAAATTGGCGATGTTTATTTTCTTGTTTAATGTCCCTCGTCAATGGTCATTACGTCGGTGTCTGGCACGTAGTTCCAGTCGAGTTCACGATCCCTTAAGATCTGCTTGTACACGAAAGCGGACTTCCGTGGCGTGCGAGTCCGTTCCGGACTTGTGTAGTCCACCTCATACAGGCCGAAACGCTCTCTGAGAGCGAAAAAGGAAATATATAGGTTACATTAAAGGTTCCGGAACTGGCTACTTACATAAACAATATTTAAAAAGTAATTACAACATTAATTTGAAAATAGAACTCTTTGAGAATTTTAATTTTTATTGGAAATTTTAAATTTCAAGCAAAATTGACATTGTGAATTTCCGTTTCACAAATTTAATAGAAAATAAAGCAAATAAAGGTGTTATTTTGAATTAAGTTAAGTATCATGTAAAACACTAACGGTCAGTATTTCACTTACGTGTAACCCTGCATCCATTCAAAATTGTCCATGAGACTCCAGGCAGTGTATGCTCTTATATCCGATCCTTCATCCATAGCATCCAACATGGCGTTTAAATATTTCCTATAGTATGCGATGCGGTCGTCATCTATTAATCCACCACGGCTGGAGTATCCATTCTCGGTTATATACACAGGTGGGTTATCAAATTTATTTCTAATGTCTGTCAAGAGCTTATATAAACCATCAGGCATCACCTGCAATCAGAAATGTCTAATAATTGGTATTTAATTTATAGTTCTTAAAATACCGAAAATGGAAACTAAGGGCGACAAAAAAGTACACCCAAGACTATACATATATGTAGGTGATAGGATAAAGGCAAAAGGAATTCTGCGCAATCTCAAAATTATCTGTATAGTCGCAATATTTTCTCTAGTAAACCCATTAACTGCACTTTTTCGCACGACTCCATAACTACAAAAAATTACCTTTTTAGTACTCGATGCCCCTTGTTCCCACTCATTAGGTTGATAAAAACCAGCGTTTATGTCGTCGTAGTACGAAGGAGTGTCATACATATTAATTACTGATTCATTTCTATACACAACGTAGGAGGTGTAATGATTTATGCCAAAGAAGTCAGACGATCCCCTCACGTAGTCAACTTCTTCAGGCGTGAACTCGGGCAGTCTGGATCTCGGGAAGCCTTGGGTAGCACTATTGGTTGCAATCCTCTCCCTCATTACCGGAGGAAAATCGCCCATCTCAGAGAAAATCGGATGGGCGTACTGTCCCCACTGAAATTTTTAAAATCTTCAGCAAATACTTCTATTTTAGGTGGAAATTATGCGATACAGATATTTAAAATGATCAAAAGGCAACTTAAACAACAATAGTATGATTTAGGTGACCTGTCTTTCGATTATTGTTGTAATCTCATATGTGTAATGTAAACTAGCAAAGTTAATACTTACGAGTTACTACATATATTAGTATTCTTTGAGAGACTTTTAACACTAAATTTGATTTCGACACTTATTTTGTATTTTTAACCATGTTTATATTTAGGTTTATTAAGTAGTAAACCTAACAGAAATTCGTACACGTAATTTTACATCTTTGCCAAATTAGCTGAATCTTCACTTCTAATTAGCTGAATATTTAGTGGTAATATTACTTTACGTTTAACGTTATATATTTTTTTGTAAATTATTAACTATTGGAAAATTAGTGTACTGATTTCAAAAATTCTACCTCAAATTGAATGAACTCCTCAGCGGCTTCAATATCAGCGTCAGTTTCAGCATAGTACCATTGGGCGCTAAGCGTTATCCCTATTATTCCACCGTGCTTCGACCGATACTCTTCATTATAAATGTGATACGCCTTAGCGTGGGCGACCAATAAGTTTTTAGCGCAGATATACTCCGCCATTCCTTTAATGTCGAGACGAGGTGCCTTCGTGGTTGTTCCATAACCTTGATAGCAGACTTCACGCGGCTCGTTCATCGTTATCCAATACTTAACCCTGTCGCCGAACATGTCGAAAGCAACTCGTGCGTAATCAGCAAACCAATCCACGATGTGGGGGTTCGTCCAACCACCCATCTCCTGTAGTTTCTGTGGCAAATCCCAGTGGTACAAAGTAACCATGGGCTCAATATTGTATTTAAGCATTTCGTCAATCAAATTGTTGTAGTACTGTACGCCCGCTTCGTTTATTTGGTCCGGGAAGCTGCTTGGTAAGATGCGTGACCACGACAATGAAAACCTGTAGAAGTCTAGACCAAGCTCTCGTATCATTTCTACATCTCTCTTGTACAAATGGTATGAGTCATCAGCTATGTCACCGTTAGAACAATCAGCAGTTGAGCAGGGGTCAGTATGGGTCATGTGATCCCAAATATTTTCAGACTTACCTGGAAACAACAATAAAATTGTGATTCCAATAAGATAAAACAAAAGGTATCCTGCGCCACAGGATCGGATCTTTTCGCCTTGATCTTTTCGCTGTAATTTCCATATGGAATTACAGGTGCAGCGTATTAGGGTGAAAAATGAACATAATAATAAATGAAAGGATGTTAATAAGGGAAGACAAAGACAAGAAGTCGAATGAACTGACCCTTTTCCCTAGCTTTTCTTTTCGTTTTTTTCATTTCAACTCACCATCTTCGTCCCAACCCCCCTCGATTTGGTAGGAGGCAGTGGCTGCACCAAAAATGAAACCATCGGGAAATTTTCTTACTTCGCTTCGGCTGCTTTTAATTTGAAAGGTATTCGATAGTGCGAACACCGAAATCAGCAAACTGCATATAAAACACACGTAATGGAAATAATCTTTTCATATTACATGTAAGAGTAGGGAGAATGAAATTATCTGCAATTCAAAAAAAAATGGCGAATTGTCATACTTACAGTATTTTTATGTTATTTAACATTGTAGTGGTGGTGTAGGTCACGCACGAATGTAAAATTTCTTAGACGAGGCCTGTTTTTATAGTGAATCAAATACCACATATGAAACACTCGAGATATCTATAATCTTGAACTTTATTTTTACTTTAATATCAGGGATATTGATAAACGATAAAAGAAAACAAATAAAACTAATCTGTCCATTTTTTTCAAATGTAGGTACTATTTGTAAGCTTCCATACGAATACTTTGTTGTTTTTGGATAATATTCTGTGGGCAAGTGCGTATATCCCCGAAATGTTAATTCCACGATCTTGAGATATTTTATATATGAAATATTACTTTGTAATGGAAGTTTAATATTCAAATGTGTTCAACGCACAACTTACAAAACTTTCGTATTTGTACTAATAATGCGTAGTAATTACGAGTAAAACTAGTGGTTACCCAGTGGTCGAAATTCGACCGTTATTAATTAAACATGGTAATGTGTCTCATGGTTTTTTTTATAGATTAAATGTATTTTCTATGCATAAATAAAGAAAAATATTGGCATTCTGAACTTCGTCCCTATTCAAAACAATAAGTGTGGGAAATTTCACGCTCCTCTCTCCGCGATATGTTTGTGAAAAGGCGTACAAAGTTTTTGTTTCACGTATTAACATAATGAGTCCAAGATCCCAGGGCCACCAGGCGTCACGAATTTTCTGATGAACGACATCTGTATGATTGAGTAGTGTTAATATGTGCTACGATCGCATGCCTACTTGCTAGCTTGGTCAGTGGGCCAATTTCCAGGTATCACATAATAGGTACATAAAAACATTACTTACCTTACGTAAATTTTCGAAGTTGATTTTTAAGTATATTTTAGACAATATCGTTAAGAATAAGTCGTCAATACTCCGAGACACTTTATGTCGGCCGTATTGGTTTACAGATGCCTTTAAAGACGTGTTTAGTGTTAAAAAAAAGGGTTTTTTCGCGTAACCTGGGTAAATTTGTAAATAGCGTTTAGATTTAGCGGTTGACTTGATAGAAATTTCACACGCCCAACGATTTTATTTTTTTATCTGATCAATGCCCTAAATTGATGAGGACAGTGGTGTGATGACTAGTATCTAGGACCTATCGAATTATTTTTTAGCTTTTAGTACATTGTCTACATCATTTTAATCTTTATTTACAATAAAACCGTTTAACTAGAAAAATTTTTTTACTCATTTTTTATTTTCAAGTTTTTAGTTTTTTCATAGTTTAATCCATTCTACTAGTCAAGATCTTTTATTTGATACCCATATTGAAGGGGTTTGTGAAACGAAAAATAAACTTTTTGTCGGCGTCTATTTTGGATTTTCATTTTATTTTCATAGATAACTCTATTCTGCTATTCAAACCCTTTCATTTGATACCCATATTAAGGACTAGTGATAAAATATGTAATCTGCAATTTTGCAAGACAGCCATGGACTTAAAATGATACCGAATGTATTAAATTGTATTGTGCTAAATAAAACCGTTTAAAAATGTATAAAGTCCTCAGCGGTTTCGATATCAGCTTTAGTTTCGGGAAAGAACCATTAGGAGTTAAACGTTATTCCTATAATTCCACCGTAATTCGACCGATATTCTTCATTGTAGATGTGATACGCCTTAGCGTAGGCTAGCAATAAGTTTTTAGCACGCATGTAATCCTGCTATACCTTGAATGTTGAGTCGAGGTGCCCACGACGTGGATCCATAACATTTGTTGCAGACCTCATGTGGCTCGTTTATTGTTATCCAGTACTTAGCCCTGTCACAGAGTATCTCGAACGCAACTCGTGAGTAATCACCAAACTAATTAATATTGTATTTAAGCATTTCGTCAATCAAATTGTTATAGTACTGTACTCCCGCTTCATTTATTTGGCTCGGGAAGCTGCTTGGTAAGATACGGTCATCATTTCTACGTCTCTTTTGTATAAATTATAAGAGTCATCACGTCGCCGTAACAATAAAGAATATATATCCGAAACAGAGCTGGCATTAATATGGATCAAGCGATCCCAGATATGTTCTCACTTACCTGTTAACAACAATAATAGTTAAGTTGTCAATCCAATAAGATAAAACGAGAGATGTCGTCGGACATGATAAAGAAATTCATTTATCTTCGTCCCAGCCCCCATCGATTTTTTAGGCGGCAGTGGCTGCACCAAAACTGAAACCATCGAGAAATTTTCTCACGTTGCTTCGGGTGCTTTTAATCTGATAGGGTGTTTTGATAATACGAACGATGAACATAATCAAATTAACAAAAACACTTTCAATACTATTTTAGTATTTAAAATTATATTATGGTTGTAGCACGAGTGTAAAACTTTTTATACGAGGTCTGTGTATATATATAGTGAATCGATCGTTACGTAAAAAACCACTCAAGGTAATATGTAATCTTGAGCTTCATTTTTAATTTAGGTAATGAAATAAACAAAACGTCAGAATATAGAAAAACTATTTTCGGGGAAAGTCTACAGTATAAAGAAATCTGCTTTAGCCTTTTGATGCATTAGTGTGTTGAATTAATATTTTTCTTTAATGTAATAATGAGAAACTATAATTATTAAAGAGAGATTATTAGAGAATTATTGGCGAGAAGGTTTGGCAATAAAGGAACAAAATTATTTTTCGTTTGTAATATATTCACCTGAGATATGAATACGGTTTTAGACCTTTTCAACCTTTATTATAATTATTCTAAAACAAAGTTTTGTCGTTGTTTAAAAATACGGCGAAATCGCGTCCTTAATTTCTTAACTGCTGGGAAATTTATTCCCACACTATTTTTGTTCCATTTTGGAAACAGGTAATAATCGCTGAGATCCATTTCTAGACTATGGTTGGAATAGACTTTTCTTCCTTGAAAAGGAACTTGTTTACGATGCTATTCTCGACTTTTATAACATTTCACACTTTCTTCCCGAGAGGCTATTTCGAAAATAGTTCAAAGCCTATAATGACATATTTGTGATCAAAGTATGAAGTATGGTCATAAAAGTGTCATAAATAGGAATTTATAACAATTTTGAGGCGGCGAATACATAATCACCAGTTCGAAATAAGATCCCTTTAAGTACGGATTCGTTATGTGACGGATTGTGCGGACGCGTTACCGTGGTGAACGACTACATTGCTGAGGGATATTCTCGAGGAGAGGATGATTTTCTAACATGAAAACAAATGTTTGTTAAAAAAGGTCGCAAATAGCTTCCTCATATACGGGCATGCTATTGTTCATTTACCAATCTGCAGTCCATTGGTTTTTAAACGACACAGTTTAAAGCTGTACACTCAGGTTTCGTTATCCGTGACGATATTGTAAATAACGTCAGTTGTCCATTAAACTTTTTGTTAGTTTCAAATCGAATATCTTCATTCAATATAGAAGCATTACCTACACATAGTTATTGATTGTTAAAATTTTACTACTACTGGTTCGGAAAAGAAAAGCCACTAAGCTCAGAGGAACTCGCCAAATAAACTCAGCGGGATACTTTTTTTATCAGTTTATATTTTTTGACAGTGAAAACATGCTCACAATATATTAAGTCCACGACGTTACTCGATACGCAGGTGTTACCAATTAACAAAAACATTACGTCATTATATTGATTGAGCTTCAAACTTCTTCAACTTCAGCTTCTCAACCTTCAAACTTGATGTTAAATTAAGAATCACTGTGGGACAATTTTTTTTCTTATCACGTAGAGTTAAATACCTCAATTACTAACTTCCTTAGTGAATATTAGTCTAGAGAAACACGTCTCTCTGCCAAGCCTCTACGCGCAACGCGAGGAATTTAGGTAGCACTGCTTGTCGCTCGAACTTGCTTGCCACATAAACTTTTGTCAAATACAATTAAAACTTAAGAAATTTTATTCTTCTAATCTCTGCACTTAGATGAAACAAGTAAATTTGTAGAAAAAGTGAACGGAAAGCTTTGCTCCGTTGCAGGAATCGAACCCACGTTCACGGATACGCGCCCAGATGCTTTATCCACTAAGCTAAACGGCTGACTGCTGCAACGACGAATCGCTCAATATATTTTATCTATGTACATTGTTTTCTCGCATTTAAAGTAATGCTTGGCGCATCTATTGTTATTTAGTTATTGTTATATCCTAAACAGCATACCTACAAACAATTCCAAATGGCGTTGCACAAAATTTCGAACGAGAGATGTCGCGATTGTTATTTGAAATAGAAACTTTTATATTCGTCCATTTGAATGTTTCTGTATTAGTTTATCAAATTTTAAATTTCAAGCACAATTGGCATTGCTAAATTCCGTTCTACAAATTTAATAGAAACTAAAAAATTAACCACAACAGCAAAACGGTGTTTTACGGTGGTAGGGCCACGCAGCAGCCTCGGCTGTTGCACGAATGGGCAGGCCCGTCCGGGTAAGTACCACGACCTCACAGAAGACCAGCGTAAACTGGAAGTATGACAAATACTTTCGCGCTTCGTCTGGTGAGTGAGGTAGCCGGAGCCCAATTTTCAAAAGGTTGTTAACGCATCTGTAACCCTCGGGTGTAGCAATGTCCATGGGCAGCGGTATTCACTCACCTTTTTGGCAACTTTTCACATAAAAAAAAACCCTCGTTTTATTATGATTATATTTTTATTTATAATTTTGACAACGCATTGGAAACGTAGATATAATGTTCATTAAAGTCTGAAAAATGATTATTGTAAAGATAATTGGTTTAATGTCCCTCGTCAATGGTCATTACGTCGGTGTCTGGCACGTAGTTCCAGTCGAGCTCACGATCTCTTAAGATTTGCTTGTACACGAAGGCGGACTTCCGTGGCGTGCGAGTCCGCTCCGGACTAGTGTAGTCCACCTCATACAGGCCGAAACGCTCTCTGAGAACGAAAAAGGAAATACATATCACATTAAAAGTTTCCGGAACTGGCCAGTTACATAAACAATATTTAAAAAGTAATTACAACATTTGAAAATGGAACTCTTTGAGAATTTTAATTTTAATAGGAAATTTTAAATTTCAAACAAAATTGACATTGTGAATTTCCGTTTCACAAATTTAATAGAAAATAAAGCAAATAAAGGTGTTATTTTGAATTAAGTTAAGTATCATGTAAAACACTAACGGTCAGTATTTCACTTACGTGTAACCCTGCATCCATTCAAAATTATCCATGAGACTCCAGGCAGTGTATGCTCTTATATTTGATCCTTCATCCATAGCATCCAACATGGCGTTCAAATATTTCCTATAGTATGCGATGCGGTCGTCATCTATTATTCCACCACGGCTGGAGTATCCATTCTCGGTTATATACACAGGTGGGTTATCAAATTTATTTCTAATGTCTGTCAAGAGTTTATAAAAACCATCAGGCACCACCTGCAATAAGAAACTCATAATGATTGATATTTAAATTAGTGTTTCGCTCTCAAAATACCGAAAACTGAAAAATTTAAGTATTTTTAAGTTTTTGAAACATGACCTGTTTCCGATATCATTAAGTGTTATTGTAGCTTATTTGTTTTTTTACAAAAATTTGCATTGTCAAAAGTGAAAGGAAGACAATAAAGTAGACTAGAGAAGGATACATGCAGGTGACAGAATAAAGGCAAAAGGAATTCCACAATCTCCAAATTATCTGTAAAGACGCGCGTTGGTATAATGTTTGTGAGTGTTTGTTTTGTGTTAAAAACTAATATTTCCTCTAGTGCGATATATACACTCATTAATTAGACTTTTGCCAAAGGCTTCTTAACTACAAAAAAAAAAAAATTACCTTCAGAAAGCTCGATGCCCCGTGCTCCCAATCACTAGGTTGATAAGGAACAGCGTTTATATCGTCGTAGTACGAAGGAGTGTCATACTTATTGATTACTGATTCATTTCTATATACAAGGTAGCTGCTGTAATGATTTAGACCAAAGAAGTCAGACGATCCCCTCACGTAGTCAACTTCTTCAGGCGTGAACTCGGGCAGTCTGGATCTCGGGAAGCCTTGGTCGGCACTTTTGGTTGCAATCCTCTCCTTCATTACCGGAGGGAAATCGCCCATCTCAGAGAAAATCGGATGGGCGTACTGTCCCCACTGAAATTTTTAAAATACTCAGCAAATACTTCTAGATTTCAGGTATTGATACAGATATTAAAAAGCATCAAAAAGCAATTTTAATAACAATAGTATGATTTAGGTGACATGTCTTTCGATTATTGTTGTAATCTAATATAAGTAATGTAAACTAACAAAGATCACATCGTTCACTAAATAAATTAGTTTTCTTTGATAGACTTTGAACACTAATTTTTATTTCGATACATATTTTGTATTTTTAACCATGTTTCTACGGTTTGAGTGAATGAATGAATGGATGAAATATACTTTATTGTACACAAACAACGGATATTGAATAATCAACAAAAATAATAAAAAACTGGCAAATAGGCGGTCTTATCACTAAAAAGAGATTTCTTCAGGCAACCTAGTCAAAGAAGATAGTAAAAACAGTAGTATCGGGTAACGGAGTACACTGAATTCATAACAGAAACTAATAAGTTAAAATATAAATACATATGAATAAATTATACATAAATACACATGCAAACACCATATATAAATATATACGTTAAAAATAATGTATAAATATTTAGATATAAGTTGACAACATAGAGGAATGAAACACCATGATTAAGATGAATGATAAATATAGTGTTTTCT